GCAACACGGAGGCTGCGCCCGCGCCCTCACTCACAACAACTCTCTCAAGCCTCGTTCACTCCGCCAGCGTCTGGCAGCGATCAGTTTCATAACAGGGACGCTAAACATTCTTGCAAACTGTCTAAACTGAATTATACATGTCATGCAGGCATTCATATGAGGAGTTTAACAGCAAATTAGTCATTCAAGGAACAAATTTTATTTTTGAACATGAAAAATTTACGAGGTCTGGACCTCGGTGGCCGCATAGCTGGTTAGGGGCCTGCTAATATGTGATTCTCTACTTAAGTGTTTTACTGTGTGAACTTTGCTAACTGAAATAACATGATACAGCTATTATAGTATGCTTTGCCAAATGTTGCAAACTTGACACCAGCTGATTAAATGTCACTGAGCAAAACTGACTCAGAAAAGTGAAGTTAGTTCTGAGAAAAGCTCCTGCACTATTTGACCACAGACACATACACTAATGCAGTGACATTCAGATATTTTCAACGTCCAAATGCTTTCTGGGACCACTGTAAATCTGTCTTATTTGCACAACATATCTCTGTTTCAGTCATACACCTATTTCACAGAAATGTGCTCATTCTGATTTGTTGACTAGATTAATTCACACATTTTTACTAAACTGTGTGGATCACGCTGAGAATATCTGGATCCACAGTGACTCCGGTGGTACTAAATTCATAGATTCAGAATATATTTGCACTAAAATGTACACAGTGGGCTGATTTTAAGTACAGGCTCAGTGTGAGCAGCAGGCGAGACCAGCGTCAACTCTATTTTCTCCAGATGAGTCATTTAGTTCCTGTTTCTGGTAATGTTCTCAGTAGTTGGAGTTCATAAGAGCCCTGGCTAATCTCATTCTTTCACAGACACTCTGTGAGGAAACGCATGTGGTCACAATCGTTTGCATGCTGCGATCATCAGCTCGTTCTGTTGCATGAAAAGCTCTTCGCAGCACCATTGCAGATTTTCACAATCCCTTGGATCTGGTGGCTCCCAATGCCCCGACACAGGTGAGTCTTTCTTTAAGTGTAGAAATGAAGGAGTGAAGCTTGTGAGGGATCGATGCGGTGTCCTGTAAAGGCTAGTGAGCATCCCTTGCTGAATGAAAGTTGGTGTTTCGTTTTTTTTTTTTTTTTTCAAGCTGCTGCTTTTCTAACAGTGCTCAACCACAGAGGAAACTCAGCAGAGGAAATGTAGCTCACTCTCTCGGTTTTGACACAGTTTATGAACAAAACTGAAATAACTGTTTACTTGCATTTCACCTTATAAAACAGCATTTTCAATGCAAATCATGTGCATCTTTGAATGTAATGTTTGTAATAACTGTTCCTCTTTGACAGCTAGCAAATGGAGAACAGGATACACAAGACTTTGAATGAAAATATTTCAAATAAAAGAAATGAAGCTTTTTTATTTCAAGAAATTAAGCAAAAAATTGTATTATATTGCAGCACACTTGTCCTTACAGAACCACGTTGAGTATAACTTTCAAAATTTTGGGGGTCATTCAGACTTTTTTTTTTTAAGAAATACTTTTATTAAGCAAGGATGTACTAAAAATGGTTCAAAGTGACAGTAAAGACTTTTAAATTGTTTAAAAAAAAAATCTATGTCAAATAAAAGTTGTTCTTGTGAATTTTCTATTCATTATAGCATCCTGAATAAAAGGGTCATGGTTTCAACAAAAATATAAAGCAGCACTGTTTTCAACTTTTAAAATAAGATTTGTTATTTATTTATTTTATTATTATTATTATTTACATTTTTAATTTCAGCAAATCAGCATATTATAATAATTTCTGAAGGATTATGTGACACTGAAGACTGGAGTTATGATGCTGAAAATTCAGCTTTGATCACAGTAATAAATTATAATTTTTAAAAATATATTACAAAAGAAAACTCTTTTGAATTGTAATATTATTTCACAATATTACAGTTTTAACTGTATTTTTGGTCAAATAATTTCAGTCTTCTTTCAAAAACATTTAAAAAATCTTTCCGACCCCAAACTTTTGAACAGTAGTGTTCATGCTGACATATCAAGGATTCAAAATATAAAAAATGGTTATTTAGGACATTTGACTTTAATTTATAAGAAGTATTGCATATTATTAATCTATTTAAATTAACTCAGTGTATATATTTATAAGCGTTCATGTTCACAAGGTTATCACTTTATCCAATCTGACCTGAAATCTTAATTTTAGAATTTTCCTCACTGAGTGTCAGAATGATTTACTGATGTTTGGTTTTTTTTCTCTGGTCCCTGATTCATATGAGTCATTTAAATTGGTCACTGAATACTGCAAAGAGCATCACACTGGTGTTAGCTAAGCTCAAGTTACTGCAAATTGAACATTTTATTACTTTAAACAAAATACTAACTTTAAACAACATACTTTATACACACACACACGTGTGTGTGTGTGTGTGTGTGTGTGTGTGTGTGTGTGTGTGTGTGAAAGTAGGCCACTTTGACTTCGCAGGGGGTTGAAGTGAACATCTACTGGATTGTTCATGGACCATCTGAAGGTCATTGCATAATCTGCAATGAAGTTGCAAATGAAGCAAATGTCTGTGTTTGGACCATCTTTCTCGTCTCGCTGAGCGTGTTTAATGGTGAGCTGCTCTCCGAACAGCAGAGCATTATTTCTGCCAGTGTCAGGAAGTCATTGGCTTCAGTGCGATCACTTGAGAAGCAGATAAGAGCTTTTGACACTTTAGCAACTGTCTTACAGTATTGAAGCGTGAAAGAGGTCAAATTGTTTCTCTTTTATCACACAGATATAAAGAGAGTAAGCTTTGCATTCCTGAAGATTTGCTCACATGTTTGAAAATGTACCCAATATTTGCTATGATGTTCCTCAGATGTACTGACCAGTTGCCTGAGTGTTGCGAGGGCGCTGTAGGTTGACAGTCAGGGTGTTCTGGGTGGATGTTAGGGTGTTGGTAGGGAGTGTTAAATACCAATGGTGGTTTTGGTTTGTTGTGTGGTTCTTGTGTTTCAGTAGCAGTTCTGCTGTTAAAAGGAAATGAGTGGAACAGTGCCAGTATCTGTTTAAAGCTACTTCAAATTTAAAGGGGTTATATGATGCTGCTAAAAAGAACATTATTTTGTGTATTTGGTGTAATAAAATGTGTTTATGCGGTTTAAGGTTCAAAAAACACATTATTTTCCACATACTGTACATTATTGTTTCTACTCTATGCCCCGCCTTTCTGAAACGTGTCGATTTTTACAAAGCTCATCGGTCTGAAAAAGCGAGGTGTGCTCTGATTGGCCAGCAATCCAGTGCGTTGTGATTGGCCGAACACCTCAAGCTTGTGATGGAAATGTTACGCCCCTCACCATACTGTGATG